TAGGCCTGTTGGCAACCCTTCCTGCCAGGTAGTGAAAGAGAAGGCGAAAAGGACAAATGGCTTGGGTCTGGAAAGAGGAATACCTGGCTCTACTCGACTTTTGGCCCTACTAGTGGACCTCCTAGGAGCTGCGGTGGCTCAAGTGGTTAAGACGCTGAACTGCAGGCTGTGGAAGGTCGGTAGTTCAGCAGTTCGAGACCCGAGTGTGCCGCATGATGGAGTGAGCTCCCATCTCTAGTTCCAGCTCCTGCCAACCTAGCAGTTCGAAAGCAAGAAATTGCAAGTAGATAAATAGGTACCACTTCGGTGGGAAGGTAACAGCGTTCCGTGCGCCTCGGTGTTGAGTCATGCCGGCCACATGACCACGGAAACGTCTTCGGACAGCGCTGGCTCTTTGGCTTTGAAACGGAGATGAGCACCGCAACCCTAGAGTCGGATTTGACTGGCTCTCGAGCAAGGGAACCTTTACCTTTTTAGTGGGCCTCCTGACGACACCTGGGTTTTGGCCACTATGTGACACGGAGTGTCGGATTGGATGGATCTTTGGCCTGACCCAGCATGGCTTCTCTTACGTTCTTATGAAGCTGCAGAGAAGGACATCTAGATCAAGCACTGGAAAGGGATTGTAAGAGCTGCTGGCTAATCTACTTTGGGTAACTATAAAATTCTCTGACTTGGAGATTTTCCCAAGACTGTTGGCCAGTAATATTTTACGACTAGATTCCATCGTTGCTTCTATTCTTATATAGGGTATATCTACGCTATGAGTTTAGCTCTCTTTTGCATCCATTTTGGGCTGCAATCCTAAACACATTCATGACCAAGTGGGGCTCTACGAGGGAGTAAATCCTGTGGAACACAATGCAAATGACTTCTGAGTAAATATTCTTAAGGCTTGTGCCTTGATTCCTTGATTTTGCTTCACTGATAGACTCTTGAGAACTGTAAGAGGGAGGAACACAAGTTTGTTAGAGATCTCATTGAACTACAGTCTGGGGGTGGGTGGGAATCATTATTAAACCGGAGTAAGCAGAGGTGAACATGTGAAACTGGATAATGCCAAGTCAGACCACTGGGTTGTCCCCATACAGTTGTGGTTGGAAGCAGCTCCTTTCAACCTAAACAGCATGATAAAAAGTAGAGACATCATCCTGCCAACAAAAGTCCGCATGGTCAGAGCAATGGTATTCCCAGTAGTCATGTATGGCTGCGAGAGTTGGACTATAAGGAAGGCCGAGCGCAGAAGAATAGATTCTTTTGAACTGTGGTGCTGGAGAAGACTCTTGAGAGTCCCTTGGACTGCAAGGAGATCAAATCAGTCAATCCTCAAAGAAATCAACCCTGACTGTTCCCTGGAAGGCCAGATAATGAAACTGAAGCTCAAATACTTTGGCCACCAAATGAGAAGGGAGCACTCACTGGAGAAGACCCTGATGCTGGGAAAAATTGAAGGTCAAAGAAGACGGGGACGGCAAAGGATGAGATGGGTAGACAGTGTCATCGATGCAACGAACATGAAGTTGAGCAAACTTCAGAGGATGGCGGAAGACCGGAGGGCCTAGAGGGAGCTGGTTCATGGGGTCGCAAAGAGTCGGACTCGACTGTGCGACTGAACAACAACAAAACCTTTCAAACAAAGGAAAGTTCCTCTCAGTCCCTGAAAGCTCAAGATGCCCAGAACTGAACCCAGCATCTTCTTTATGTAAAGCTATGGCTAATCATTTACATCCGTTCATCTACATCCTTCAGAGTCTTCACGTATTTGGGAAACTTGGTATCCACTGCAGTCAGTGTGGTGTAATGGTTAAGGTGTCAGAGTACGACTGGGGAGATGTGTGTTCGAATCCCCTTTCAGTCCTGAAGCATTCTGGGTCTTCTTGGGCCAGTCATTCTCTCTCAGCCTAACCTACCTCACATGGATGTTGTGATAAAACGTGTATGCCACCTGGATCTCCTTGGAGGAAGAGTGGGATAAAATTATATAGATGCCACTTTCCCACACCTAATTAAAAAAAAAAGTCATAACACAAATTACTATTTAATTTTACTGCCCACGGTGTGTTCCAGGTGTTGTGCACACGCAATGGCAAAAAAAAGTGGGTGGGAAGGGAAATGAAGTTTGCCCGAATGGGACTTCCAGGAGGCAAACCACATTCCATTCTTGTTAGGCACTCAGTTTTACAGCTCCAATGTAATATTACTGAAGATCTGGAAAACAAAATGTGTGTCCACCTTTTTCATTGCAAAGAGGAGACGCTCACCTTGGGCACTACTTAGCCAGACTGTCACCAGGCGAGGCCTATAAAATGACTTCTCTCAGGAATCAAAGCTTTCTGTCTTTTCTTTTTGCCAGCGAGCCAGTTTGGTGTAGTGGTTAGGAGCATGGACTCTACGCTGGGAGAACTGGGTTTGATTCCGCACTCCTCCAGATGCACCTGCTGGTGTGACCTTGGGTCAGTCGCAAGGTCTCTCAAAGCTGTTCTCTAAAGAGCCCTCTCAGCCCCACCTACCTCACAGGCAATGCTCTAGCTAAGCTATGGAGTCCTGTGAGCAAAAAATCTACTTTGTGAGCTACTGGCATTAAAGCTGCGAGGCGGTGATTTGGCTACTGCATAAATCAGTTTGCTCTGGAGCTGTGCTTCCTGAGCTAAGACAAAAATGTGTGAGTCGGAGCTAAAAAAAAACCCTGTGAGCTAGCTCACACTAACTCAGCTTAGAGGAAACCCTGCCCACAGGGTGTCTGTTGGGGGGGGGGGGGAGGGAAAGGAGATTGTTAGTCGCTCTGAGACTCCTTCGGGTAGTAACATTGACTAGACCAGAAGAAAATATTGTATTTATAGTGACATCCTGAACAGAGTTACACCCCTCTAAATCCACAGACTTCAAATTACTTAGAAACGCATTATCTCTGCTCAGAATTGCACCCTTCGTGTTTATGTCAATTCCTTCCGTTTATTGGCACACAGTGTTCAATAACCTGCAAGGACGATTACAGGTACACCACCACATGTCGGAATTGTGCTTTGGATTTTTATTTTCTTTTTACCTGGGATTTTAAAATGAATCAGATCTGATGGAGGCTAGGGTCTGATCCTGCTACAGAGCCCTATCTTCGGAGCTGTAGTCTGTAATCAGTATGAATCTTCTCCCTTTCCCCCAGGTTTCCACACCTTCTCTTGGCAAAACGCCTTTCCCGAGAGCATCATGGAACAGTTCCAGTTTCCTAGTCTATCCTTAATTTGTTGATACCCATGTGAATCATTTGATACTGTCTTATTCCCCCCCACCACATGGAATAATTATCCAAGTGTTTTCTCCCAAAATATGGATGGATGGTGGTGTGTGCTAGGGGTGAGTATTGGCAGACGGCTTATGATCCATGCTAGGGGTTATTCAGGCAGGGTTTGAAAACAAAATGGCCCATATTGTAATGGAGTTAAATCACCAGGGCAGCTGTAGTTAGAATACTGCTCAAAGTTTGGGTTGCCCTCTAAAAGGATGTCCTAGCAAAAGGGTTCCCTACATAACAAAAGGTACATAACAGAGCGAATAAAAGGATCCCCAAGCTAGTGTGTTTTCCATGCCAATAAAACACTGTAAGAAATTTAGAAATACAAAGATGAAACAATGCAGAAATAACATTTCGCTTCCGTTTCACAAGAAGAAGCTGATGGGCAGGAGATCCAGGACAGACCAGAGGAAATAGTTCTTTACACAGAGAGTGATTAAAATGTGGAATTCACTGCCAGAGGATTTAGTGATGGAGGGTCACAATAATATACAGCTTTAAAAAGGGATTAGATAGCTTCATGGAGATTAATTCTACTGGGGGCTACTAGCCATAGTGACTAAGGGGAGCCTCCATGTTCAAAGGCAGTCAGCCTCTGAATCCCAGGTTCAGGAGGAAAATCAGGGGAAGGCTTCGGCAAAGTTTGGTGTAGTGGTTAAGTGCGTGGACTCTAATCTGGGAGAACCGGGTTTGATTCCCCATTCCTCCACTTCCACCTGCTGGATGACCTTGGGCAAGCATAGTTCTGGCACAGCTGTTCTTGAAAAAGAGCAGTTTCTGTCAGAGCTCTCTCAGCCCCACCTACCTCACAGGGTGTTTGTTGTGGGGAGGGGAAGGGAAAGGAGTTTGTAAGCCGCTCTGAGACTCTGAGAAGGGTGGGGTATAAATCCAATCTTCTTCTCCTCCTTATTCAATGTGTCCAGAAGCAAAATCATCCTGGTTACTTTGAGACAAAGACAAACTACCCTGCATGCGGCCAAATTTCTAGCAGATGTTGTCAAATCACATGATGACTCTTGCACCAGCAACCTTTACATTCTTCCATGTTTTCCTGTGGAATGAGGTTTATTGTGGGATGAGGGTTTGCTGTTTATGACTTCAGTTGCAAAAGCGGTAAAGGTAATAATTATAATATTCAATGTATCTGATAAAGTGAGGTCTGGCTCATGGAAACTAACGCTAACAAGCATTGTTCACCTTTAAGGAGCCACAGAATCCCTCATTTATTTCTATAATTCCTAAATTATCCCTCATTTCGTTCCATAACTCCTAAATCAACAGCATCCATAAGGGAAAGATTGGATGGCATTTCCACAGAGCCAGTTTGGTGTAGTGGTTAGGAGCATGGACTCTAACCTGGGAAGACAGGCTTTGATTCCCCATTCCTCCACACACAGCTATTGGTGTAACCTTGGGTCAGTTACAAGTTGTTTCAGAGCTGTTCTCTCACGAGCAGTTCTCAAAAGAGCTCTCTCAGCCCCACCTACCTCACAGGGTGTCTCTGGTGGGGAGGGGGAGGAAAAGGAGATGGAAAGCCACTCTGAGACTCCTTCGGGTAGTGAAGGGCAGGGTATAAATCCAATCACTTCTTCCTCACAGTTGGATGCATTTCAGAGTCCTTTGCGGGACGATCGGCATTGGCTCCTTCTAGCCAAGGGTTCTTTATTACTTCCATTAAATGTCTGCCTGTCTTTCTGCTTCTCTCCTGCAGCTCAAGGTCTGGTGTGCAAAGTCTGCAAATTCAAAGTGGGTAGCGTCTGTTGGAGTTCCGACGATCCCTGCGTAGCAGACGATGGACAGCACTGTGAAACCACAAGAGTTTATTCAGGTAAAGGAAAGAGATTTGTCTCGTGTTGGAGCACACCTGGACACGTGAAGCTGTGTCATCCTGCGCCAGAGAGCAGTGGCTACTCTTTCCAGCAAAGGCTTTCCAGAGGCTTAGGCTTGAAGCTATTCGTGACTTTTTTCACGAGTTCCCCATGGGGACTCGCAGCCATACTGCTGTCACAAATCCCATGGCAACTCATACAAACAAAGTACAGATGGTCCAATTCTTATCAGAGAGCTATGCGGGGGGGGGGGAGCCGGGGAAGGGCTTCTGAGAGCCAGGGTGGTGCAGTGGTTAAGAGCAGCAGACTCTAATCTGGAGAACCGAGTTTGATCCCCTGTTCCTCCTGCACATGAAGCCTGCTGGGTGACCTTGGGCCAGTCACAGTTCCCTCAGAACTCTCTCAGCCCCATCTACCTCACAAGGTGCCTGTTGAGGGGAGAGGAAGGGAAGGTGCTTATAAGCTGCTGTGAGACTCCTTATGGTAGAGGAAAGTGGGGTATAAAAACCAACTCTTATTCTTTTCTCCCCCTTCCTCACAATGCCATTTTTGGCAGCCAAAACAATCCAGGCTCTGAGAGGGCGGGTGTTATTTACACTGTTGGGAGGCAGCAAGTATGCTGTCCCCCTGAGCTTGCAGCCTCACAGTGGTGTGAATAACACCCAGCCCCTGCAGCCCCCAGGTCATTCGGCTGACATAGACAGCACAGGGAAAAGGAGGCAGAAGACCTTCCTCGCCTGCGCCACTTTCCAACTCATAATTGGGCGTATCTGTACAAGGGTTGCCAGGTTCCCCCAGACACCAGCGGAGATGGGGGGGGTAGGGTTGCGAGCTCCAAGATGGGGAACTCCTGGAGATTTGGGGATGGAGACTGGGGGGGGGACAAGGCCATAGAGTCCACCCTCCAAAGCATCCATTTTCTCCAGGAGAATTGATCTCTGTCACCTGGAGATCCACTGTCACTCCAGGAGATCTCCAGGTCCCACCTGGAGGCTGGCTTCCCTGGTGACTTTTCTGTACACAAGCTACCATGGATATTTGCAGTTCTAGTACGGCTGCAAATCCCCGTGGAGAACTCATGAAAAGAGTCGTGCATCATTTGAGTCTGAGGTCAATGTCTTTCACATCACCTGTTGCCTGATCATTTTATCTGGGGATGCCATGGACTGAACCTGGGGATGCTAAGCAGATGCTCTGTTACTGTGCATTGGCCCCTTCTGTTTTAATAAATGACAGCTGTTGATCGCAAAGGAGGCTGTCCTCCACGTGCCCACAACTCTGCTCTCTCAGTTCCCACCCACTGCTTTTGGTTTAACTTGCCCTATAGCCTGACATCATCATGCACATCTCTAATAGCCAGTTTGGTGTAGTGGTTAAGTGCGTGGACTCTAATCTGGGAGAAACGGGTTTGATTCCCCACTCCTCCACTTGCACCTGCTGATGTGACCTTGGGTCAGTCACAAGCTCTGGCACAGCTGTCCTTGAAAAAGAGCAGTTTGTGTCAGAGCTCTCTCAGCCCCACCCACCTCACAGGGTGTCTGTTGTGGGGAGGGGAAGAGAAAGGAGTTTGTCAGCCGCTCTGAGACTCCAAGTGAAGGGCGGGGTATAAATCCAATCTCTTCTTCTCTTCTCTAATATGCTGAACGCAACCTCAAGTGATAGCTTCCACATGGGAATCAGGAACTGGTTCGCACAATTAGTTACTAGTTGGGAAGCAGGCAGTTATTTGGTCCGGAGGGATCGAGTCATGTCATGTGCATCCACCTGTGAGAACCCAGTGAAGTTACTCTCCCATCCTCCCCCAGCATTGGGCAGGGCTCACATTAATTCACATCTTTTCTCTTTCTCTCTCTAGGCAGACTAATGCTCTTCACAAGGCATGGCTGCAACAAACACAAGGAGCTGTGCAACATGACTGAGCAGCGGGATAACGTCTTTGACATGAGCTACAACCGCACTTGTTGCAACTATGACCTGTGCAACGGAGGGATCGTCAGCAGTCCCAGCTTGCCGCTCTTAGCTGGACTCAGCTTGGCCCTCGGGAGCTGGCTGGCACACTAGCAAGGGAGGCTGACAGGGAAGCTCGTCCTTCCCACCCAGCCGGTGACCCTTGGACTGTCTTTCTTCCCAGAAGAGGCAAGATTCCTTCACCTCCTTCCCTTCTGAAGGTTCCTCAGTCTCAATGGTAGCCCTATTTCAGACCAGCACGACTTTGGCCCTCCGTGTCAAATGTAGCCCACCAGCCGTGTGTGGGGACCCAACAAGATGAATCTCCTTTTACTTTATAATTAATAAACTGCAAGTGGGATAAATCTTTTTTTTAAGGGGGCAATTATGGATGGTTTTCAAAATAAACACATTAAAAATGATTTATAAAAAGCCTGGTTTTTCTATATACATCAAAGCCTTACTGTGGGTTTTCCCAAGTCTCTACTTGTTAGGGACATGAACGTGCCAACTTTTAAAAATTCAAATGAGGGACAGGTAGGCTCCGCCCCTGCATGGCCCACCTTCTCTCCCTATGCTGGAATCCTCTCCACATTTTATCAGCACTCGACCTGTTCCTCCCTTGGCCTCAGAATAATCTATTTTGTTTTCAACGCTGGTGCCAGCTTTGGTATGCAGATTTTCCTGTGTCAGTACTTGCCTCGGTGGTCATTAGCCACCTGAGCCAAGTAATTCATGGCGAGGTGATAAATACAGAGGGAGGAAATAGGGGTGGGAGAACTGACAGAGATCAATGAAGCCCTGTCAAGTTGTCTACGTATTGCTCCCTTCAAATTGGAAGTGAAGGTAGGTAAAGGTGCCACTCAAACCCACCTTCAGATACCCCAGGGCAACGCCATAATGACTGCGAAGTCAACCCTGAACAGCCATAAATCTATGCAGAAGGTACCATAAAACCCGATAAACAAAGAAAGTGGAAGAGGCATGCAGTGAAGAGGGAGATTAATCTCCTGATGTGGCTGTGGGGAAAAACTGTGAGGAAACAGATGGGTGTAGATTCAGCCAGGCAGACAGGGACAATTCATGTTCCCAAAAGTTGGTAAAGCAAAAGCAGGAGAAAAGATGGCTCAGTTGGCTGACTACATAAATCTCTTTGTCTTATTTGGAAGCTAGCTAGCTTCCCATGTGGTCAGGGTTCAATCCCTTTAATCTGAGATATCAAACAACTGAGTTGCTGCAAAATGGCTCTATTATTTGGTAACACTGCCGAGGTCTTGTAAACAAACAGGCATTTGAGCAGAATGACTCCAGCAATCTTTGCAGGTGTCGCAAATGGCCACCAGTTCCAACACTGATAATGCACTCATAGGATTCACTGCAGATGGACTGAGGAACATGAGGGGGCACGGATGAGATGGTATGCACCCATCTATGTGTACACAGAAGTTCTTAGAGTCTAAAATAGTTTACAATATTTAATTCTATCCTAATTGTGGGGATTTGGAATAGTATTGTGTAGCCCAATCGGTCCTTGGATGGGAGACCACCAAGGAAGCCTCTGCAGAAGAAGGCAATGGCAAATCACTTCTGCTTCTCACTTGCCTTGAAAGCCCATTACTGGGGTGGCCATAAGTCGGCTGCAACTTCACACACACACACACACACACACACACATACACAAATTATGGAGGGTCTTCATCAAACTCCGATATATTTTATACAGTCTTGCAATGTTCCCTCTAAGCTGTGGAGTCTTGTGAGCAAAAATTCTACTTTGTGAGCTACTGGCTTTATAGTTGTGAGTGAGCAATTTGGCTACTGCATAAATTAGTTTGCTCTGGAGCCGTCCTTCCTGAGCTAAGACAAAAATGTGTGAGCCGGAGGCTAAAAAACTGTGAGCTAGCTCACACTAACTC